ATCTTTATAACTATTAATAATATATTAATATAACTAAAAGGAATAAAGTAATTATAACTTTATCTAATTAGAATAAAGAGTATAATCATATAAATTACCTATTATAGTAATTCCTACAATTAGCTAAAACGACTAAAAACTATATATTAGGTTAGTTACTATAAAAAGTATATATTAACGGAATTAATAAATCCCTAAAATTAATAATATAGTTATTATTAATAAAAATCAATATTAAGTTAAGATTTAAAACTAAAATAATAGAAGCTAATAATCTATAATAAATCTATAAATTATAACTATAATAATACTATAGATCTAGAATATCTAAATTAGATTAAATAAAGCTATAATAATTAACTTTATAATAAAGTTTTTATAGTTAATTACCTATTATAGTAATTACTTAATTAAGTAATTACCTAATTAAGTAAAGGTTTATGAGGAAAAAATATATTATATATACAATAGATTTTTCTACTTAGAATAGATTTTAAAGAAGTAAGTAATTTAATAGTTTTATCTATTTAACTACTACTACTTATTACTACTTTTTACCTATTATTACTATTATTAGTATTATTTCTTTTATATTAATAATAACTATTTATACTAGTTATAAATAGTTATTCTTAATTATTAGGAATTTTATTATAATAACTAATAAAACGAAAAGTTTCCCCCTTTTGCTATATTATATAATATTTCTACCCCTAATAATATTACTTCTATTATATACTCTTTTATAAAATTTAATAAGAGCACTTCAGCTAGTACTTTATATAGTAAGAAGATTATAGTATATACCTAAAGGTTTAGAATAACTACTTATGCTAAACCTAACTATAGCTGCCTATTATATTTTAACTTATACCTTCTACTAATTAAGGAAAATAGTATAGAAACTTTATATATTCTTATTAATAAGTAAACCCTCTAAATATTACTATATAAAGTTAATTATATACTTTAGCTAAATAGACTAATAGAATAGTAATAACGCTAGCTATATAGTATAAAGTTAGTAGTAATAATACTATATATAATAAACCTAATTATATTAAAGCTAAATAGGTTATTAAAGCTTTTATAGCTTAGGAACACTACTATATAAAAGATAACTCTTTAATTAAAGAAGTTATTAGAAGAGGTTCTTATAGCTAAAAGTATAAAAACGATATAAGGCCTTATACTTATTCTTTTTCCTCTTCCTCTTCTTTATTTTTGAACCTATATTAATAACTTATTCTTATAACTTATAATAAATCCTTTATAATATCTATCTTATATAAAGAATATATAAATACTAACCTTATATAAAATATACTATTCTTTAAGAATATAGCTAGAGATATCACTATATAGAATAATATTTATACACTAAATAAAACCCTTAAGTTTAGTATATATTCTATCCCTAATTAGAAATACTTTATTAAAGTTACTCTCTTAAAAACTTTATTTACTAAATAATTATAATAATAATAAAACTTAACAGCTTTAATATAGAGGCTATATAATTATTACTAAAGTGAAGTTAAAGATAGTAAAGTTATTAACTAATATATATATATATATATATATATATATATAAATATAGCTAAAGTTAAGAGAAGTAGTTAGAGATTATAATTATATAACTAAAGGCTATATATATTATTAAGAGGTATAAAGTTAAGAGATTTATTACTCTAAATAGGTTAAAATTATAGTGAATAGCTAGAGGCTGTAAAGCTTTATATATTAAAAGGTATTATCTTATTAATTATAGTAAAGCTAGCTTTATAGTTAGTATTAATTCTACTATTATAAAGTATACTTTAAGTAAAGCTTTATAGTATAAAGCTTTATAGATTAAGTAAAATAGAATATATTATAAAGTTATAGGAATCTAAGTAGTTTATTTATAGGAATCTATATAGTTTATATAATAAGGAATAAGCTTATAGCTTAGTATAAGTAGTAATATCTTAAATATATAGCTAAAATAAGCTTTTATATAGCTAATATTATACGGCTATTTTTATAAGTTATATAGGTAAAGCTATTAACCTTACTAATAATAAAACTATTATTAATATAATACTAAGAGCTATAATAAGTAGCTATAGTTAGGTTTAGTATAAATAGTTATTTTAAGCTTTTAGGTATATACTATAATCTTTTTATTAGATAAAGCATTAGCTAAAGTGCTCTTATTAGATTTATCTATTGTAGACCTTCTTATAGAGTAGGCTATAAAACTTCTTTAATAGTATAGATATTTAACTAGTAGAAAAAATAATAGAAAATAAGTATATATTAAATATAGTATATAGATAGAAATAGCTAGAGGAAGATAGTTAACTTAGTTTATAATAATAGTTAAAGTTTAATTAATAAAAGAGTATAAAAGTAAAAATAATATCTAAATTTAAATTATAGTTATATAACCTAAAAGTTATTAATAAAGAGCGAGGAGATTAGTCTAGCTTTTATAGTTAATACTAGTTAAAGTTTATAATATAAAGCTAGTAGCCCTTCTTAAATAATATATATCTTTTTATAACCCTTTTTAAAATACTAGCTTTTAATATTATATAAATAAAAGTAGAACTCTTAAACCTTAAGTATATAAGTATATAATACTAATTTAAGTTAATAAGGGTAGTATAGTTTCTAAAGCTATCTTCTAGTTTGGCTGCTTAAATAACTAGGAAACAGTGGAGATCGCTTAGCTAGCTAGGAACGGCCTGTGATTGCTGGAGAAAATGATCCCGATCGACGAGCACCAGCTCACGCTCAGCAAGCATCTGGAGACCAACTCCCAACTTAAAAGCACCATAAGCCAGATTCTGTCCTGTTTATAGGAAGCTTTTGAAAGCGACCTGAGGTCTGCCTGGTGCCACAGTGAACATCCACTGGAACAGCTTGACTCTCACTGAGAGTTGCATCACCATGGCATCCGTTAGAGATGGAGCTGTCTTCTCCAACCCTGTGATTCCGGGCTTCAATCCAGACCCGACTGTATGCGTCGTTCCAGCCACAAACTCCACTCCAACGACGTTCTTCCTGTCCACCTCAACTTTCGAGTACTTCCCTGGATGCGCCATCTACTCGTCCACAGATCTGATCAATTGGAAACATATTGGTCATGCACTTACACGCCGAAGTCAAATTGAGATGCGAACAGTTGAGCCTGGTGCAGGTAGCTGGGCAAGCACTCTGCGCTATCGGCCCAAGGAAAAGCGCTGGTACTTGGCCAATGGTCTTTTTCAGAGATATCGACCGACAAGCGACGTGAGATCCTCTGTTATCACTGGCGGCGGCTCATCTGATCCATTCACTCGTAGGAACGCATCTTCCCAAGGGGCTTCTATGTTTGGACGGATAACATCTGGAACGACAACGCCTGGTCAGACCCTGTTTACTTTGACAACCCTGGATTCGATCAGGATGTGAGTCCCAGTCCCCGACATTGGTACGTTGTCTCTGACCAGGAGCCCAGCTATTCTGGGATGACGACGACAAGGTTTATCTCTCTACCACAGTGCGTATGAGCAAGCGAACGCCAGGACTGAAAATGAAAGACTTCGCAATCCACATCTCGGAGATCGACATCACTACGGGGAGGACACTCACACCCCCTCAAGTCATCCGTGAGTCTCCGCACGGAATAGCTGAAGGTTCCCACATCGTTCGCAAGGGGAGGTACTACTACCTGTTCACTGCCGAGGGCGGCACCGAAGCGGGCCACCAGGAATGGGTTTTCAGGAGTGACATCGGCCCATACGGTCCATGGGAGGGGCAAGGACAGGCTTTGTGGTACAACGGCCCCGAAGAAGAGGTACAGAGAACCGGTCACTGCGACATATTTGAGGACGGTGATGGCAGATGGTGGGCGGTGATGCTAGGTGTTCGGCCCGTGAAGTCCGAGGGCAAGTATATCGAGCCCCAGATGGGCCGTGAGACATTCCTCGTTCGGGTCGATTGGGTAGACGACTGGCCCATATTCAACCAGGGTCGCAATATCACTCTCCGAACTGTCGGCAGGGAGTACGTCCAGAAAGCACCAGTGGCAAACGCAGTCGGGGTGAGATGGAGGGCGGACCTATCAAAGTCTAGCCTCGAGCTTGGTTGGTACCATAAGAGTATGTGGTGTGCATCAATCGCACTGGAGTGCCGCAGTTGACATATTTAGACACACCTATAAAGCCTTGCTACAGCCTCACTGAGCGTCCGGGGTATCTCAGGTTATTCGGAAACTGTTTCGACCTCAACAGCCCAGAGTCTCCTGCGATGTTGCTCAGGAAACAGACGTCATACAACGAGTCGTTCAGGGCGGAGATGATTTTCAAACCCAGCCGAGCAGGATATGAGTCTGGCATCACCGTCTGGTGGAGCCAGTATTCATACGCTACCATCGGAATTGCGGCGGTGCGGGAAGATGACGGAAGCCTGGCTGTTCCGACAATTGTGACAAGAGAGCCTACAGGCAAGGTCAGCGAACTCAAGGTACAGAGGCCGGGAGCATCGACACTCGTGGCTGTTGCTAATGACTACAGGTTGGTTACCCGGTTCTTCGATCCAAGACCTCAGCATGCCCGGGACTGGACTTGGATCACCATGTGCAGCTGGCCATCGCCGCGCAGCCGACCAAATACGAGATGAGTCTTGACATCGGCGGAATCACGGCAAACGTATCGTTCAAATCTGAAGATTTGACCATATATCCTCCTGTGGGTGGAGCATTCTGCGGAGTTATGTTCGGGGTATATTCGTGTGGTCAGAGCGAACCCGTTCTTGACCCTTCCGACTTCACGAACATTGAGATCCTGGAAACGGAAGAACGATGAAAGAAATGTCGCAAGGATGGATGGCCTGAGCCCACAGGAACTGGCTCAAACCTAGTATGGGTACTCCATATGGAGTGAAAAATTGAGCAATAGTCTACTCTCATGTCCCTTACCACGCGAATTCAAGACAATACAACCTATAAGGTAGAAGAGCAGTTGAAATTTTCATGTAATGATCAATACTACGACCGAGGCCTCGACATCGCAACCGTTGCCGTCCGGACTGAGGCTCATTAGTCAGAACATCTGTGGCATCATTCTCACGGAAGTCCTGAACTCTAACATGCTCAGACCTCTACCATTCAGGCCTTTGGTTACCTGTGGGAATAGGGCCGCATTGACCGTCGAGCTGTAGCAGCCACATCATCCGTTTTGCCAGCCAGGCATATTTCCCAGAAGCTGCTCTGAAGGAGACAAAAGGATACCCACCTTGGGCTGTCCATGTCTCCGCCATAGACCCAACCAGCGACGGTCTGCTATACACCCTCACGCGGGACCTCGACGTGGAACGACCAGACACCTACCCAAAGAACACTCCGATCTCACCATGGCGTCCTTCATCAAGTCAGAACATTACGAGACCTATCCAGGAGTGTCACCAACTCTAGTCCGGGAGGAGTTTTCGGGCAAGACGGTCCTGTTGACCGGAGGTGGCTCAGGAATTGGAACAACCATGGCCTGTTCATTCGCCGAAGCCAACGTGGCCGAGCTCATTCTCATGGGTCGAAATGAGTCTACACTAAGGGACACCGCTGAGAACCTTGCGGCGGAGTTTGTCAATCTGAGGGTATCAATCCATGTGGGGAGTGTGTCAAACCAGGACGACGTCGCAGCCGCCTTTTCCAAAATGGAACGGTCTCCAGACATACTGGTCAACAATGCCGGATACCTCCCGGAGCCAGATATTTTTGTCGACGCGGATTTGAAAGACTGGTGGCAGGCGTTTGAGACCAACGTCTTCGGTACAGCTGTTGTCACACAGGCTTACCTCCGACACCGCAGAGGACACAGGGCCAGCACTCCGGGTGTCATAATCAATATCAATACCAGAGCGGCGCACGATACAAGCATGCCTGGCCTGAGTGGCTACTCATCGAGCAAAGCGGCGATTCTGCGGATGGCGGAAGTCATCGCCATCGAAATACCAGCGTCAGAGGCGCGCGTCATCTCACTCCATCCCGGGGCGGTGCAGTCGGCCATGCTAACCAAGTCCAAGCTGAACAGGTCCCAAACTGATGTGAAGCTTGCAGCGGACTTCGTGGTATGGGCAGCCTCAGAGAAGGCTGCGTTTCTGAACGGGCGATTCGTGTGGGTGAACTGGGACGTAGACGAGTTGGTCTCGTGGAAAGACATGATTATCGAGAGGGACCTTCTGAAGACCTGTCTCAAAGAGACGTAAGGAAATGGATGGCTCATTCGAGGAAGCCATGAATTACGGACGAGGCACGTAGCTGGGCGAGGTGATGTCGGGAGAAACTAGCTGGAGAAGGGTTGGGCGGCAAGGCTGCATAGACCACTGTGGAACCTGCGGGCAGGTGCCACCACAAGTCTAGCTACGGATACTGGAGCTGAAATTTGATGTGCGACTTTGAACGGAATATCCGTAATGGCGAGATGCTTCGTCAAGGGACAATTGAGTGCTTGACACGGAGGACTTGCCCTGGCTGCATTGGTCGGAAGAGCCTTTCCGGTGAGGCGGCGATCGCACCGGCTTATCGGATTATCCTCGGTATGACATAAGCAGACACCTACCCAAATGACGTCTGCGTGGTGTGACTGGCGCTCAGCCCCAGTAACTCAGCCCCCTGGATGAGCCACGGCAGTCATCGCTGTTGCTTGCGTGTTCATCAAAACAACGCCCGCTGTAAGAAGGACTTGAAGCTGGTCGAATTTGAGAAAGCCCATTGCAAAAATCCGTTTCCTCTGCCTCTATCTACCTTCGATCCCATCGCCTCCGAACTTTCCGATCATGTCTCGTTTCTCCCGCTACGACACGGACGAAGAACGGCTGCCCGACGGCATGCAGCGAGTGGGCTACGATGCCGACACGCAGATATATACATACCGTGATGCAGACGGCAGCTACTGGGAGGGTGCCCCAGGCAACGAATACGGCCAGTTGACGCAGGTTTCGAATGGTGGACGACCCTCGCGCCACGAGCCCATCGACGCTGCCCTCAGACACCACATGTGGGAGGAGGAGAGAAAGAATTGGCGACAGGGCTGGCAGCCGTTGCTCAACTTCTTCCTTATCATCGGGCTATTCCTCATGTTGCTTACCTGGTGGCTTTACCGGACGCCTTCGGAGCAGTTGCCTCAGTGTGGTGGACAGGCGGTACCGTACAAGATCCACAAAGGTGATACGTGCTGGGCTATTGCAGAGAAACACAAGATGAGAGTGGAGGATCTGGTCAAGGCCAATAACAAGCTCAACTGCGACAAGCTGCAGATTGGGAGCTCAATATGTGTGCCATCGGTGATATAGACGGCGAGTATTGACTGGCGAGGATTCGATGCGCAGTGCTATTGGATACCCGGTCGGAAGGGTATGTGCATATATCTCCAGCCTTGTCTTCTCTCCTGATTCGAAATGGGTTGGATACCACAGGACGGCTCTGAGGCTGGGCCTGAGATTGGCTGTCGGAGGGAAAACGAATGGTGGGCCGAGGGCACTCAATAGATTGTGCAATTGTGAGGGATAGCAGCGATGTTCAAAATATCCGAATGGCCGGAGTTCACGATTGCTTCGCAAGACTTCTTTCGGCTCATGCAAGGTGAAAGTGATGCTGGGACTACTATCTTGGTTGAGGCTGTAGAAATCTACGACTCCACTTCACATGTAAGAGAGCAAGGTATCTGGCACTTGGTGTTGACTCAACATCGTGAGAGGAGCCAGACCTGATGCCTGGCACGCCATAGGGCGGGGGTTCTGCCACCTGACCCCATTCGGCGCGGGCTGGGCGACGATCCAACGCAAGCTATCTACCTTCCCGGAGGTACCGGCACATACCCGGGCCCACTCTCCAATACTTCCATCGGTTAAAGTACCACTGCCACTGCATGCTGCGTCCAACCCATATGTGTACTTTGGTCGGGTAACTAGAAGACAAATGTGGCAGGTCAGGTAGGGTGGGAGTCGTTTAATGCCCTGATCTTTGCGGTCGCCGTCAAAAGTCACCGCCGCAGACCCTCCCTCATTGCGCGAATGTGCCCTCAGGAATTGGAGGCATATACTCAGCATCAAAGTGCACAAGCTGAGACTGCGTCTTGCTTTTCGATTGATTGTGAGTCCACGTCGTCAGCATCAGCGACACTACCAGGCGGGTGGACCCTGAGGGGGGCGGGAGGTGCGGTGCCCAGTGTCTCCCGCTGTGCCGGCGTGCCGCTGCACCCAGCTGTGGTGCGGGCGCGGGTATCGGGACCACTGGGGGGCGCGCTGGGGATCCTGTGCGCCTTCGAGGTTTAGCGCTGTTTTCCCCGGAATTACAGCGTCTGGGGAAGTGGGTTTCAGGCGGGTCCCCTGTTGCTCATCGCCCCACAGTGGTCGTGTGTTTGCGCCGGCGTGCCTTCTCCCTGCCCGTCTTTGTTTTTATTGGCTGCAGCCGGCTCACCTCAGCACACCGACACCTTCAGAGTCCAGAGAAAGCGGCATGTCATTCATGCAATTGGAAGACTGTTTTCAGCACGTCGCCTCGGACCTTCCTGGCCTGGATGGTTCGTGTGGGGTGGCCTCTTGCTGCCTCCATTGCGGGCGCTTTGCAATTTGGGGAGACACATCAGGGTCCCCTCAGTAGGTTGTGTTTGTTTCCATTCTAGCACTCGACCCGTCTATCTAATTACCTTATCTAGGTAGGTAGGGAGACGGGTCGACTCGAGCTCGAACGAGAACCCACGGCAATGGCCAGTTTGGACAACATTCTGGTGCTGCAGAGGTGGTATGTTCGCTGAACCACCGCCAGGAGGTCCACGCCGGTCAACGGTATCCGAATCGCTATCGACCAGGCCATGCTTGCGTCACTGATCTGCCCACACTCATGTCTGTAGCGTTGCACCAGGCGACTGACCTGCCCCTACCTACACAAGCGCAGACAAAGGCATCGCCCCTGGTTTGCTTTTCGACTGGGTGTGCGTGCGTCTCCTCGCTTTGCTTGGTTTCCCTCGTTTGGACTCACCATACTCTCCTTGCCCCTCTTCCCCTCGCCCCCTCGTTGGCCTGCGACGTATGGCTGGCAGTCCGCGTGATGATCTGGCTTACCCCGCACGCTCAAGACGGGTAGATGTCGAGGCGCTGCCCCTGAATCCGAGATTCCTTAAAGAGGACGCCATCTGCCTCGTAGCTTTTCCCCTTGGACTCCCGCTGTGCGACATGTCTTCATCCATCTAATCATCTCTTCCATCTTTCAGACTCATTCAACCGCTGCATCCATTTACTTCGAGAAACGCATCAACCAACGCTGAGCCAACTGCAACGCTTGCAACACCCCAACCTCTTTCGACCAGCCGTAGTACTTAGGAGCCTATTATTATTATCCTTTTTACGCGAGACACATCGAAAGGTACGAACAGCGTGGCTTTCCTTGGTGCATCCGTCGACTCTACATCGTCGAATTTTGTCACCCACTACCCGCTATACACTGTACCAACGCCCGCCTGTCCTTTTGGCTTGGTTGTTAATTCGACTTCATTTCCTGCAGATTTCACAATGGCTCCGCGTATTCCTGCCGCAAAGTCCACCGAGACTCTCTGCTACGGTGTCGCCACTGTCGGTGCCTTTCTCCCCATCTACCTCATGCTGCCCGGCGCTGAGCAGCGTCTCGCCATGCAGACGACAAAGTGGGCTCCTCGCTGGGAGCGAAACATCTCGTACTTCACCCCGGCTGCTGAGAGAGGCATCAAGCGCGTGGAACCCCCTGTCTCCCGCATCGTCAAGCGCATCGATGACAGGCTACCTCTCGAGAAGATGGCCAAGGGCATTGACAAGCGCATCAAGAACGGCATCGAGCGCTTTAACAACACCAAGTAGGAATCTAAACATGTTGGTGAAAGGGTGGCCACGCAGAAGTCAACCCAAAGACTGTCTGTGTATATGCATGTGGGGAAAGGAACGGTAGAGACACCGGTGAGGGGAAGGACGATACCACATCAAGCTCTAGAGATACAAAGGATGCATTAGAGATCTCATAAAAATCTCGGCAACAAGTAGAGAAACAAACAAGAAAAAGGTCAAACACTCACCCGCTCTCTCTTTTCTGGTTTCGCGGAGAGCCCGGCGTAATTGGATTGAATTGACGGCAACGCCCAGTCCAACCGCATACCGTATGCCGCCGTAGGGAGCCGTAGTTTCATGGATTGACTGTGGGCATGGATACTTGCATTTCACTGCTACATCAATCTGCAGATGATCAGGCCATGATGAACAACTTGGACGGAGGGTGTCTCACTTACCCGAGCGGGGTTTCCCTTGATCCCCAATTATTTTTCTCCTCCACCGCGCCATTGCTTGAAGGTTAGCACTGCATTGTTGTCGGTAAAGGAGAGGAAAACGAAGCGGTATACAGGGGAACATGCAGCACCCAATTGGGCCGTTTGCAATTACGCAGACTCTCAAGCGAACTGCCATCGCATCCTGGTGGCACCATCCTCAGCTCAATAGCATGCGTCCAGGCCGTTCGGTACTGCAAAAGTCTCTCGACAATTGCCATGCAACACCTTGAGGGATGACCAGATCGACGCGATCTCGTTTCATTTATGACCCTGGCCTCCCGCTGTCGTTTCGTTGCAACTCTTTGGCAATACTGGGCCTGTACGCACTTGCATATAGGGTCAAATCCCCAAAGAGACGCCAGAAGCCCTGGTGCTCGATTCTGGATGCGCAATGGCGCCCTCGTGGAGACGCTGAAAGCGGATGTTCACCCCCGACCGATGATACGGCATCTCCGTAGGTAGAAACTTCTGTGCCTTAGTTGGGCGACCGCGGTATAAATTGGTTTTGCCGTCCTGCCTTCAAATTTCGGAATCGCCAAAGCCCAAGAGCAGCCTAGTCGAGGGCCAATCGAAATATCGATGAGCGATGGTCACTGGCGGCGTCGCTAAGACACGAGGTATAGAAAGCCACTTGAATTCTGCTCAGGCAAGCACTGCCGGTGCTGGTCTTTGACCGAGATGTAGTAGAGAGATGCTGAGTAATGCCAGACCTCCTCGGTCACCGTCAGCCCATGTACCGAGCAAGTTGTGAGTATCTCTCAATCATCATGACAAGATCCCTCACCAACTAGGCTATCGAGGCTCTACACCTTTTCAAGTCAGTACACCTAAGGTGCGAAGCGGAGAATCTACCCAGTACCAACCTTTGT